CCCTTAAATTAGTTAATTATAATTGTAATTATAATTGAACTTGCCGGAATATTTAATAATAAATATATATCACGTGGCATCATATAAGGCTCTTTGATATTCTCAATGAAAGCGCCCAAATGAGTGAAATCACGGCCTTTAAAGAGGTACCAATTAGTTTAAGTAATTTTTACGTTGCACTGCACTAAATAGACGATCTTACTACTTTTATTTGCGAAAGTAAGTAGTACATAAAATCTCATTAATTTATCCAAGTCAATGATTACACACTCGCTGGTTTGTAGAAAAGAATAGCTTTATGATGATCTAGACTCTGGTTAACTGCTTCTTAGTGGTGTTATTGAGACAAAACTAAACCCGCATAGGGAGTGTGATATTTTGGTAATACTAGTGACAAAATTGGGCTTTTTTTTTAAAACCGTCGTGATTAATTCTAGTCAGTGCTGTTCTCCATTAATCACTTTTTATGCTGATTAGTTTGATAAAATCTTGAATATTCGAGCATTCTGTTAAGATTAAAATTGAACACGAATGGATAGATAGGCTTTTGTAAAAGCTATAAGGTCAATAAAGCAATGTAAAAAACTCGAGCGTTGTCTATCTTTAGCCATTTCCGGGCAAAGAGATTGGCAACGATGCATGCCCGTCAAGAGAATAAAAGCTGCTTTTCAAGTCAAGAAATTAGCATAAAATATAATCTGTACCTCCTGTTGGAGAGGATAGATCAGATGAGTTCATATAACAACACAGGATAACAACACAAAGATAGTTTGAAGATCGATTTTGCATTCTCGTGATCTGCGAATAATTAAAATTTCTGTTATAAAGAATAACATCTTTGTCGTAAAAATGCAATTATTATGCATGCATGATAGTATAATAGAGAAAGGTGTGAGTAGCATAGTCGAGTTCGAATAAACTTTCAGAGATCACCACCCCAACGCAGTGTGCAGGTGGATTGATTGTGTTTGCAAAGAGAAATCCCACTCCTTCGCAGAAGTGTCATGAAGGTGCCCCACTTCTTTTCTCACTTCCTCCAACAAACAGGCTACTCGTTGAACAATGAATAATTGTGTAAAGTATAAGGTATGTACTAGAGTAAGAAGAAGCAAGCCCAAATTCAAAATAAAGTATCACTATGACGCACAAAAAGTGTTTGCCCACTATACATAGTCTGCTAGCAGGCGACAGGTTGAGATCTATTATGCTATAGCTAAGCAGTGTTGCGATAAATTTCAATAATTATGTAAGGATGCATATATATATGGATAAATGAATAGTTGCCACGCGGTGATCTTATACAACCGGTGGAACGTGAGTTTCCTTCGTAAAGCCCAGGCTCGTTTGGTTGAATACCATACTGCCGATGTTGCCATAGCTCTCGATCACAATCTCACTGTTGCGAAACTGAAATATCAATAGAAATGGTGACAAAAATGAGTTGACTTTATTTCATATAAAGTGTTATAATATCGTCACGAAATAAACTGAAAAGCATTAGTTCGAGGCTGTTCTACTTTCAAGAGAATTTATCATTCAAACCACCAAGACTGGCTGCTTGGTCTGGTCTAGTTTTCGCAAATTGGCAGAAAAGATCCTCCACTAAGTGACAAAAATCAAAGCAACAAAGAGTTCTAGAAGTTTTATTGACCATTGCCATTAAATCTCAATAAGATTTGTCTCCAAAAAAGATGTTTCCTTCTCCCTAGACCGCTCCGTATATGTCATCATAGCCTAAACGGGACTCCAACTTATGTCACGAGAATGCAAGCTTCACGATACAAGTCAACATCAAATCAGCTAAATTTAATAAGTAATTAAAGATCCACTGTTTTGTTTATCGTATCCTCGATACTTTTTGATATATTTGCTTACGTGAGCTGCGATTTAGTTAAGCATTTGTTTCATTCGTAAACTACGGGGACCAGAAGATCAGCAGATTAAGGCATATATTGTTGTGAAATTATTACCATTAGGAGTAGTAAATAATTAAATTTTCATTTGGGATGAGATAGATTCGGTTCCTGATTTTGACTTCTTGACAGCTTGCCAAAAAGTTGGCTAATCTACTGAGGAAGTGGACCTTCAGAAGGATGTATAAAAAAATCAACCTTTTTATTCAGTAGTTCTTTCGTTTAGAGAACTTTCACATCATATTTATAGATCATGGGTCTATGTGAAGGCTACCTGCCAACTCATTCAGAAGAGCTTATACGAAAATAAAACCGCTCGTAAAAGTGTATGGGTCCAAAAAAACTGAGTTCACTTAACCCATGTTAATACAGGACACAACGTTTTGCTGGTAACGGTGACTTTACATCAAATCGTAAGAGTAGGGAGTGTATAAAAATGAACAAAACAGTCCACCTCCTGAATAAGAGGAATGAGTATAGGAAATTAAGTAGGAAGTATTTATGGCCGGTGGATATTCTTAACGAGAATATGGTAGAGAAGGATCAGGAAGAGCCATTGAATCATTACATACACACAATAGAAAATAGTACAAACACGAACATGATTCAACAATAAACAACGTACGCTACTTTATTTACTTGTTTAAAGAAACAGTAACTACTTAATCTACGTCCAGTTCATGAGTTAACTTGAACT